ATTTTGAAAACACCCCAATTTCCTCGGAAACAACATACTTTTGAATTGGGAGAGAAGATCCCGGACACGTCAAGTGAGCTGAAAGCGGCTGCGCAAGTCACCCCTATTCCAGAAAAGGAAGAAAAGCAGATCGAAGAAACTAGCCCTCCTCCAAAGTTTGTAATGAATATTAAGACTCCGGAAGCACAACGAAAGCACCTTGCTTTTGTCGTAAGCGAAGGTGAACCAGAGATAGCTACTGGTACCAGTTTGCCTAAAAAGAAGAAGAAGATCATCAAGCAACGTTCTATGCCAGAGACTACTAGATTAGGTGTTTCTCCAGAAAGATACGTTATGACGGTAAGGACACCGGAATCCCTTAGACGACACCACACGTTTACAATTAGGGAGCGAGCAAAGAGCCCTGATGTCCCCTACATTGAAGAGGGGGAGATTACCGAGCCAATTGCCACGGTTGGGCCTACGGCAGAGAAAAGGAGACGAGCACGTTCGGAAGATGCGAAGAGGACGAAAAAAACAGAGCAGGAGTTGAGCAAAATAGAGAAATTTACTTTAACTATGAAGACACCTTTCGTGATGAGAAAATTCAAGACTTTCATGGTGGAAGAAAAGCCAAAAGCAGAAGAAATCCCGACATCGAAGAGTGACGAGCCATTGTTACATACAAAAGTTAGCTTTGCTGAGGAAGTGCAGGAACTTATCTGTGAGAAATCTGTGGAAGCTCCAATGCTACAGGCTATGACGACACCTCATACAAAGAGGAAACATAAAGTCAAAGATGAGTCAGAAGAGAACAAGGATGAAGAGCCCCATAATGAGATGTTTGTTCTATCAACTTCAACCCCGCTTACGATGAGGAAATTTCAGACTTTCACCATAGAGGATAGGAAAGTAGGTGATCAACCTGTGAAATCAAACACAGATAGCAATTTGGAAGCAATAGTAAAGTTGGAGAGAGAACAAGAAATTGACGAGAACATTCCGTTGAAGACGACCGATATGTATGTGCTAACAACGATGACTCCACTGCCTCTGAGGAAGGAGTTGCCTAGTGAGTCCCGACTGGAGAAAATTGCACGAGAACAATCAAGAAGCATGTCCAAATCGCCAGAAAAAACAAGCCTCTTCATTATGGGAAGCAAAACCGGCAGGAGTTACCACCATGTTCAAGAAAGGGAGCCGCCCGTGGAAAAGGAGGCTGTGAAGTTTGCCGTGGTGCAACCGCAAAGAGCAGATTTAGAATTTGAAATTCAGAGGAAAGAATGCAGCCAATCAGACAATGCTGAACCTATAGAGAGGAAGAATAGCTATTCATCGGTAAGTAATGGAAATCTTTGTTAAGATCTCCCAGTCATAATTATAGCACCTTCAGGGTGAAATGACAACTCCTGAAGAGGAAATCCCCATGGACACCCATCTGACCCCTACTGAAGAGTTCAAAGAAGATGCGCTTATCATCAGGGCGATAAGACGGCCTGCAGAGGTCACGTCACCGATTGCAGAAGAGCCTGAAATGTCGATATCGTTCGACCAACAACAATCCCACACATCGTCAGAGAAGATCTCCAGGGAAGGATCTCGATCCAGCAAAAAGGAAATTAGTAAGTGGATTTGTTCAAGTTTACGTCGTGAAGAGTAGACCGATTAGACCAAAAGTTTCAACCCTTTTTGAAGCAATCTAAATCGCA